CTGAGCGCCATGACGGGAGGCAAAGGTAGGCGGTGACGTGCAATGTCACAGTGGCTCCAGACCCCACCCCTTGGCTGTTAACATCACCCCCCCCCCTCCCTTCCCCTCCAACCGTGGCACTCTGCTGTGCTGACTGTGCTGCTCAGCTGGGCCGCCGCGTAGGAGCAAGTAGCGCAAGGAAACGGCCATTTGGGTTCCGCGCTCCAGTGAGAGGCAGGAGGGGGAGAAGAGCTGGGGGGTGGAGGCAGTAGGAGGAGGAGAGAGAGAGAGAGGGTATGTCTACATTACCACCCTAGTTCGAACTTGGGTGGGTAATGTAGCAAACGAAGTTGCAAATGAAGCCCGGGATTTGAATTTCCTGGGCTTCATTTGCATCTTGCCAGGTGCCGCCATTTTTAAATCCCCGCTAGTTTGGACTCCGTGCCCGTGGCTACACGTGGCACGGAGTAGGTAGTTCGGATTAGGCTTCCTATTCCAAACTACCGTTACTCCTTGTGGAACGAGGCTAAGGGGGAAGGTCTTCTCAGGAATTGATAAATGGTTCAAAGATAGGAAACAAAGAGTAGGAATAAATGGTTAGTTCTCAGAATAGAGAGAAGTAACTGGTGGTGTCCCACATAGCCCTGTACTGGGACCAATCCTAATCAGCATATTTATAAATGATTTGGAGAAAGGGGTAAACAATGAGGTGACAAAATTTGCAGATGACGCTAAACTGCTCAAGAAAGTGAATTCCAAAGCAGACTGTGAAGAGCTTCAAATGGATCTCACACAAGTAGATGACTGGGCAAGAAAATGGAAAATGAATTCTAATGTTGATAAATGCAAAATAATGCACCTCGGAAAACATAATCCCAACTATACGTACAAAATGATGGGGACTAAATTAGCAATTGCAACTCAAGAAAGCTGCCAAATGAAGAGAGATTAAAAAACAAACTTTTCATCTTAAAGTGAGACAAAGGGGGATATGATAGAGGTCTATACAATTGTGACTAGGGTGGAGAAAGTGAATAAAGAAAAGTTATTTACTTCCTCCCATTCCATAAGAACTAGGGGTCACCAAATGAAAATAACTAGGTAGAAGGTTGAAAAGAAAAGAAAGCACTTCTTCACGCAACACACAGTCAACCTGTGGAACTCCTTGCCAGAGGACATTGTGAAGACCTGAGCTTTAACAGGGTTCAAAAAAGAACTAGATAAATTCATCTAGGCCAGGTCCATCAATGGCTATAAGCCAGGATGGGTAGGGAGCGTGTCCCTGGCCTCTCTTTGTCAGAGGTTGGGAATAGGTGACACAGGAGGGATCACTTGATGGTTCCCTGTTCTATTCATTCCCTCTGGGGCACCTGGCATTGGCCACTGTGCAGACAGGACCCTGGGCTGGATGGGCCTATGGTCTGACCCAGTCTGGCCACACTGCTGTTCTGTTTATGTTCTTTTGCCCCACTGCCTGAGGCGCACAAGCCAGCAAGGAGCACTCCAGTGCTAGCGGTAGAGTTCAGTGGGGTTCAGTGCCTGGGTACTGCGTTGGGCTGTGGTTTGGGCACTGGGTGTCTCCATCGCAGGCTGGTACCTTGCGTGGCTGCGTGGGTGACCGTAGTGCAGTGCACTTCCATCGTCTCCCCGTCACTGCTCAGCCGGAAGGCCTCACTGTGCTGGCTGCAGTTCTCTGAGATGACCCGCGTCTCGATAGCTGGAAGAGACCAGGGTGGGGGTGAGGCCACATCTAGAGTGTTGTGTCCAGTTCTGGGTCCCCCACTACAGGAAGAATGTGGACGCATTCGAGAGGGTCCAGCAGAGGGCAACAAAAATGATTAGGGGGCTGGAGCATATGACCTAGGAGGAGAGGCTGAGGGATTTGGGTTTATTTATTTGGGTTCCAAAGAGGATGGAGAGAGGCTGTCAGAGTAGTAACAGATGCAGAACGGGGAACAATTGTCTCAAGTTACTGTGGGGGAGGTCTAGGTTGGATATTAAGAAAAACTATTTCCCTAGGCGGGTGGGGAAGTGCTGGGCTGGGTTCCTTAGGGAGGTTGTGGAATCTCCATCCCTAGAGGTTTTTACGTCTCGGCTTGACAAAGCCCTGGCTGGGTTGATTTAGGTGGGATTGGTCCTGCCTTGGGCAGGAGGCTGGGCTTGATGACCTCCTGAGGTCTCTGCCAGCTCTACGATTCTATGAATGACAGAGCCCCTTGCTGTGAAATCACTTCCCTGGGAATCCATCCTTCCTGGGCCAGATCCACCCCCTCCCCCACCCAACTCCACCAGGAGCAGGGGAGTTCACAGCTATTGTGTGCTTGGGGGACAATTAGAGCCCCCCCAAGTTCCATTGATCACTCCCCCATATCCCCTTCCCCCACTCTGCCTGCGTCTGCCTGGAGCTTCTTCCTCCCCAGCAGGGGGAGTTGTGGGTGTGAGGGGAGGCGCCTGGCTCAGCATGGCAGCCCCTGGCGGTGGGATGCCAAGTGCTGCATTGATACCCTTCTCGGGCATTGCTCTTGCTCCCGGCTGCACAGGCGGGGCCGGGTTCTCTGCCCTGGCCAGGGGCCATGCTGTTCTGGGTCTGTACTGAACACAGGCGCACACCCACAAAGCCACATCGGCTCCTACCTTCCCGGGGATTTGAGGCACCAGGTATATCCCCGAAGCTCACAGCAGCCAGCAGGGGGTGCTGAGAGCCACACGTCCCCTCTCACCCATAGACTCTGTCCTCATGTTCTGTGTCGCCTGCCCCGGAGACCGGAGCGCAGTGGCCAGCGCAACCCGTTCCACGCTCTGCAGCAGGACGGTCACTGCCGACGCCACCTCCCCCTCGCATCTGCTGGACCCGAGGGAGGTGCGGTTCAGGAAGGAGTTGAAGGAGCGAGTGGTTTCCTGGGGACAGGAAAGGAAAGGCCCTGGGAGTGAGGAGTGCGAGGGATCAGGTGCCACGTCCCGTGGCTTCCCAGGGGCATTGGGTGTCTCAACCTGTCCCAGCTCAGGGGCTGCAGAGCTCTCACAGGGGGAGCCCTTTACAAAGGGGCACCATGGAGGCTGATTTGGGACCCCACTAGGGCCTGAAGCCAAATGGGGCTAGAACTCTTGGTCATTCCTTCTTCAGCCCCGCTCCCCCACCCTCCATGTCCGGGCACAACATTGGCACAAGCCGCCTGCTGCCTGGGTCGTCCCTACGCTGCACCCTGCAGCTGCTCAGAAATTGACAGCAGAGCAAGAATAGGGCCCAGATCCTGGTGCTTGAAAACCCAGGCCACTGACTGATTGGCTGAAGGGGAATCCCCACTGTTGGTTAGCAATATAGCACCTCTGATGCACAACAGCAGCACCGCACACTGGAGGGTTTATGTGGGTGGATGAACACAAACATGCACTCACACCACTAAATAATACACACAGTCACGTGACTAGAGCGTATGCACAGGCACAGGCCTGCGTGTGCACACAGCACAAAGCACACACATGGCACTAGAGGGCACGCGTACCTGCATGCATAAGCACACACCTGGCTAGAAGGCCTGGGACATCAACGTGTAGTCAACTACGCAGCTAACCTATAAGCACAGGCTTATCAGTTAATCCTACTGACTACACACACTGCCCTGCCCCCCTGCTTCTGTATCAGGCAGCAGCACAGAGGTTGAGGGGAGCTGATGCTCGGGAACAGCAGGCTTTAAGGTGGCTCCCTGTGAGAACCGGCTCCTGCAGAGCCACCTGGCCCCCACTCCACTGATGCTTATTGAGAGGCCGTGTGCAGGAGGGCAGGCAGCCGCGGGCTCCCACCTGCCCCCTTTGCCAAAATGTCAAGTGATTACATGTTTATACAAATACCTGATAGTTAACGCCCCTAATGTATATGAGAGATTCATTAGCCGTGGTTTAGCTGGACCGTGCATGAGCCCTTCACACCATTTCTGAGACTGCGCACGGTCTGGCTTCCACCAGTTCCTCCTAATTGGATACATCTGTAAGACATAAAGAGAAACTCCAATCGGGGAGGAGGGTGGGACATGGAGCACCCACGCGGGGACACACCTCGAAGAACCATCGTTACTGCACAAGGTGAGTAACTTCCTCTTCTTCTTCGGGTAGTGTCCCCGTGGGTGCTCCACTCTGGTGAGTATCAAGCTGTTGTCTGGTCTAGGGAGGTGGGATAGGACTCAGGATCTCTGGACTGTGGAAAGAACTGCTGATGCAAGAGCTGAGTCTCGAATAACAGTGTCAATTGCATAGTGCTTTGCAAATGTAAATTCCGAAGACCACGTAGCTGCTCTCCTGATGTCTCGTAAGGGCACGCCGGAAAGGAAAGCTGTCGTTGTTGCTGTTGCTCTCGTGGAGTGTGCACGAATCGATGTTGGCAACGTTTTGTGCTGTATCTCGTAACATTGTCTAATGCATTTTACGATGGACTTAGAAATCCGCTGTGCGGATAAAGGGTGACCGCTAGATCGTTCATCCATGAATAGTAAGAGGTGCTGTGATTGTCGGAAGGGCCGTGTTCTTTGAATATAGAACACCAGAGCCCTGCGGATATCCAGCGTATGGAGTCTTGCCTCCTGAGGTGACTCATGTGGTATTGGGTAAAAGGTAGGTAATATTACTGGCTCATTGATGTGAAATTCGGAGTTCACTTTTGGGAGGAATTTAGGGTGTGACCTTAGGATAACTCCAGTGTTCGTGAAGAGAGTATAAGGCGTTGGCTGAGAGAGCGGCAAGTTCGCCTACCCTTCATACTGAAGTGATGCCTAGGAGGAGGACCACCTTCATGGTAAGTATTGGGAACTCACAAGATGCCATTGGCTCGAAAGGTGGCCCTGTTAGAGTATCTAGGACTAATTGAAGGTCCCAGGATGTTGGAGGGGCCTTCCGCGGGGGGTAAAGATTCGCCAGGCCTTTGAGGAATCTTTTTGTCATGGGGTGAGCAAACACTGACTGTCCTTCCATTATGTCCATGAAGGTGGAGATCACAGAAAGGTGGACCCTTATGGATGGTATCAAGAGGCCAGAGTGTTGGAGATACAATGCATAGTCCAAAATCCAATGGATTGGTAGCGTTATAGCGTCAAGGCTGTTGTCATTGCACCATGATTGGAAACGTAGCCGTTTAGAAAGGTAAGTTCTTCGAGTGATTGCCAATTATCTCCCCCCCATTTGGAGACAGGTTGTCCCACTTCGCCTAGGCCTGGTCAGATATCACTTTGGACAAATGGGTGCTGGACATAGTGTCTCGGGGGTACTCTATCCCCTTCCTGGGTCCCTTCCCTTCCCTCCCCCTTTCCCCGTCCCTCTTCAGGGACCCATCTCACGAGGCCCTCCTCGGACAGGAGGTCCTCACACTCCTGGAAAAAGGGGCAGTGGAAAGGGTCCCTCCCCATCGGAAGGTCTATTCCCATCACTTTATTATCCCAAAGCCAAAGGGAGACCTTCGGCCCATCCTAGATCTCAGGGCCCTCAACAAGCATGTAAGAAGGGAAAAGTTTCCGATGGTAACCCTGGCATCAATCATTCCAGTACTGGACAAGGGCGATTAGTATGTGGCCCTTGATTTGAAGGGCGCTTATTTTCATGTTGCGATTCGGATGAGCCACAGGAGGTTTCTCCAGTTTGTAATATCCCACCAGCACTTCCAGTTTACGGTCCTCCCCTTTGGGTTGTCAACGGCCCCCAGAGTGTTTACGAAATGTATGGCGGTGGTAGCGGCCTACCTTAGGTGGATGGGAGTCCAGGTCTTTCCGTATTTAGACGACTGGCTCGTCAGAGGTCGTTCAAGGGACCAGGTCCTCGCGCACATAGGTTTGGCGCAGTCTCTTTTCAACAAACTGGGTCTGGTAGTGAACGAGAAGTCAACCCTTACCCCCACTCAGAATACAAAGTTCGTGGGGGCGGCCCTGTGTGCCAAGATGGGGCGCGCTTACCTCCCGCGAGCCAGGTTCCAGGCGATACAGACCCTAGTGTCAGCCCTGCAGCTGTCTCCCTTGACAACAGCATGGTTGTGCATGAAGCTGCTGAGCCATATGGCAGCCTGCTCCTATGTAGTCAGACATGCCAGGCTGAGGCTCAGGCCGCTGCAGGAATGGTTGGCAGGTGCGTTCAACCAGGCCAGGGACGGCTGGGACCAGATCTCACTGTGCAACAGGGAGTCCTCGCTTCGCTCCGCTGGTGGACATTGGAGAGTGAGGTGTGTTCAGGAGTTCCCTACTGTGCAGGACTGCCGTCAGCACAGCTCATCATGGATGCCTCCGACGACGGTTGGGGGGCACACCTACAGGACCGCAGGACACAAGGGCTGTGGACCCCCCAGGAGCGGGGGTTGCACATAAACATTCGGGAACTGAGGGCGGTCAGGAGGGCCTGCAAAGTCTTCCTGACCATGCTCTCGGGGAAGCTAGTGTCAGTGCTGCTGGACAATACCGCAGTGGTTTTTTACATAAACAAGCAGAGTGGAGCCCGATCATCCCCGCTGTGTCAGGAAGCGGCTCTCCTGTGCGAATTCTGCATAGCCCACCGCATCCAATTACACGCGGCATACTTGCCGGGGTGCGTGAATACGTTAGCAGACTCATTGAGCAGGTCCTTCAGAGCCCACGAGTGGTGCCTCAAGAGTGAGGTGGCGGCACACCTCTTCCAGATGTGGGGTCATCCTCTAGTGGATCTGTTTGCTACCAAGGTCTCCATTACTTCTCCCTCCTGGGCCTGGGAGCAGGCTCGAGAGGGGATGTCCTGACTTCAGCGTGGCCTCAAGGTTTGCTTTATGCATTTTCCCCATTCCCACTGGTTCCCAAGGTACTTACCAGGATCAGGCTGTTCAGGTCACGGGTAATCCTGATAGCCCCGGATTGGCCCAGACAGTTTTGGTATCCCATCCTGTGGGAAATGGTGGTGGCCTGCCCTTATCGCCTGCCACTGACCCCAGACCTAGTTACCCAGGACAGGGGCGGGGACATCCTGTATCACCTGGATGTGCAGTCCCTCCACCTGACGGCGTGGCTTATCCATGGCTGAAGCCCTCAGAGGGCTTGCTCTACGGGGATGTATGCCACCAAATGGAAGCGTTTTTCGGCCTAGGCTCAGAGTTGGGGTGTTTGCCCCTCCCGGGCTCCTGTCCCGGTGGTCTTGGATTACCTTCTTGGGTTGCGACAGGCGGGCCTGTCCGCTCTGTCGGTACGGGTGCATCTGGCATCCCTGACGGCGTTTCATGAGGGATCAGGGGGCAGGTCTCTGTTCTCCGACCCTCTGGTGAAAAGGTTCCTGAAGGGCCTAGATAAGCTGTTTCCCCATGTGAGGACCCCAGGGCCTCAGTGGGACCTTAACGTGGTGCTGAATAAACTCTTGAGTCCCCCCTTCGAGCCGCTAGCATCCTGCCCTCTTAAGTTCCTGTCTCTGAAGGTGGTTTTTATAGTCGTCATTACGTCAGCACGCTGGGTGTCTGCATTGCGCGCCCTGACGGTGGAGCCTCCGTACTTAGTGTTCTCGGCAGACAGGGTTCGTCTGCGTCCCCACCCCGTGTTCCTCCCCAAGGTGGTGTCAACCTTTCATGTGTTGCAAGACACATACCTCCCGGTTTTCTTTCCCAAGCCCCCACAGCTCCCCTAAGGAGCAGGCTTTGCACTCCCTCGATGTGAAAAGGGCACTGGCGTTTTATATAGACAGAACTAGGCCGTTTCGCAAGACTTCTCAATTGTTTATTGCCTACGCGGATCGGATGAAAGGGATGCCGGTTTCAGCCCAGCGGCTGTCGGGGTGGATATCCTTCTGCATTCAGGAGTGCTATGCTCTCGCGCATCGGGAGCTGCCTCGTGTCGGCTCATTCCACCAGGGCCCACGCTTCGTCCGTAGCCTTTGGGGCCCACATTCCAATCCTTGAGATCTGTAGGGTGGCT